AACAATGTCAGGCTGGAGACTAAGGTGCACCTGATCCAGGCTATATTCTTTGCAATTACTTGCTATGCACTGGAGAGTAGGACAGTGAGTAGGGATGATAGAAAGAGAATTGATGCCTTTGAGTTGTGGTGCTGGAGAAGAGTGTTGAATATACCATGGATTGCTAGGAGAACAAACAGGTTTGTCTTGCAGAGGGTGAAGTCAGAATGTTCCCTGGAGTCAAGGATTCTAAAGCTTCATCTGACATACTTTGGGCGTGTTGCAAGGAAGGACTTCATGTTTGGGAGAGTGGAGGGACGGTGCAGGAGAGGAAGACCCTCGATGAGATGGATTGAGTCTGTAAGTGGAATGGTGGGAATGAATGTGTTTGAGACAACAAGGTTGGCACAGGATAGAACGGAATTTAGGGCTCTTGTACATAGGGTCTCTATGAGTTGCAAACGACCTTGATGGCATATAACAACAGCACCAACAACAATAAGAGAAGAGAAGGAAATAAGAAGTGTACAAATTGGCAAAGAGGAGGTAAAATTATCTCTCGATGCAGATGATATGACAGTATACCGAGAAAACCCTAAAGACTCAGCAAGAAAACTGTTAGACATAGTTGACCAATTCAGCAACGTAGCAGGATACAAGATCAACATACAAAAAATCAGTTGTATTTCTCTACAGTGACAAAGAGAAGACAGAGCCAGAGCTAAGAAAAATAATACCTTTCACAGTAGTGAATCACAAGTTGTGAGTAAACCTAACCAGAAGCACAAAGGAGCTATTCAAAGAAAATTACAAAACATTACTACAGGAAACAAAAAGAGACCTGGAGAAGTATAAGAATATCCCTTGCTCATTGATAGGAAGACTCCATATTGTGAAAATTGCAATACTACCAAAGGCAATTTACATGTTGAAGGCAATCCCAATACAAATGCTAATTCCATTCTTCAATGAGATGGAAAAGGAAATTTCCAGTTTCATTTGGAATGGAAAGAAGCCCTGAATAAGCAAAACACTCCTTAAAAATAGAAAAAAGGTAGAAGGCATCTCACTCCCTGATTTCAAATCCTACTGCACTGCCATGGTGGTTAAGACAGCATGGCACTAGTACAATGACAGACACTTAGATCAATGGAATTACCCAGAAATCAGCCCATGTACTTATGGTCAACTGACTTTTGACAAAGAGATTAAATCAGTTAAGTGGGGAAATGACAGCCTTTTAAACAAATGGTGTTGGCAAAATTGGAAAACTATCTGCAGAAAACTCAAGCAAGATCCACACCTCACTCCATACACAAAACCCACTCTAGGTGGATCATGAGCCTCGAACTAAAACCAAGGACTATAAACTTTATTAAAGAAAAGCTTTGGAAGAACTCTAGAGAAAATCTGTCACGTCAACAGATTTATTTATGTGTGTGTGTGTGTGTGTGTAGTGACAATCCTAATATTTCATTAAATTTATGAAAAATTAAAAAGAATATCATCCATGAAGAATGCAAAAGAGCAATACAAAGTCAGAAGAAAAAGAGAAGACCAAGATGGATGTCAGAAGAGACTGAGTATTTCACAAGAGCACTGAGAAGCCAAAGCAAAGGGAAGAAATGAGGAAGTTAAGGAGCTGAAAAGAGGATTCCAAAGGGCAGTTCAGGAAGAAAAAGCCTTGTAATGAAATGTGCTAAGAACTGGAGTCAGAAAATCAAAAGGGCCGAACTTAGCATTTTGTAAGCTGAAGGAACTGAATAACAAATTCAAACCTTGAGTTTTAATACTTAATGATTGATTCTATTGACAGAATACTGAAATGATACAGGAAGCATCAAAGGAAGATAGAAGGTTTATACAGAGTCACTGTACCAAAAAGAACTGGCTGACACAGGAGAATTTAATGAAATTGCATATGATCAAGAAGCAATGGTGATGAAGGAGGAAGTTTAGGCTGTTTTGAAGGAATTGGCAAAAAGTAAAGCCCCAGAAGTTGATAGAATACTGACTGACATATTTCAATAAACAAATTTTTATTGAGCCCTGGATGTGTTCACCAGGTTGTGTCAAGAAATTTGGTGGACAACTACCTGGCTAAATGACAGGAAAGATTAATATTTATTACCATTACACACACATACACACACACACACACACACACACACACACACACACATCATCCAATAGTGTGTGGGGACTGCAGCCTTCAGTATGGACTGAGGCTCAATGTCAAGAAGACAAAGATTCTCGCCACTGGACCAATTGGCAGCATCAGGATGGATGACGAAGAGATTGAGAGTGTTCACAGCTTCAGTTTGCTCGGCTCCGCAGTCAACGCTCTTGGCACCAGCAGTCAGGAAATCAAAAAGCGTATCGCGATGGGAAAGTCTGCTGTTAGGGACCTCTCTAAAGTACTCAGGAGCAACAGTGTCTCTCTGGAGACTAAGGTGCGCCTGATACAGGCCATGGTCTTTGCAATCGCTTGTTATGCATCAGAGAGTTGGACAATGACTAGGGAGGACAGAAGGAGAGTGGATGCTTTTGAGCTGTTGTGTTGGAGAAGGGTACTGAATGTACCATGGACTGCCAGGAAAACAAACAGATTCATCTTGGAGAGGATTAAACCAAGCTACTCCTTGGAGGCAAGGATTCTGGGGCTTCGTCTGACATACTTTGGACATGTTGCCAGGAGGGACGGGTCCTTGGAGAGGGACATAATGCTTGGGAGGGTGGAGGGACGGCGCAGGAGGGGAAGACGCTCTATGAGATGGATGGGTTCAGTGACTGGGGTAATCGGGATGGGTGTGTCAGAGGCAGTGCGGTTGGCGCAGGATAGAGCAGGGTTTAGGGCTGTTGTGCATAGGGTCACTATGAGTTGGAAACGACTCGACGGCACATAACAACAACAACAACAACAACAACAATCACTAATATCACATACAAGGAAAATCTTGCCAAAGATTATCCAAAAATTACTGGAACATTATATCAACAGAGAACTACCAGAAATACAAACTGGGTTTGAAGAGGCTGTGGCACAAGGGACATCACTGGCAATGTCAGATGGGTCTTGACTGAAAGAAAAGAACACCAAAAAATGTCTGTTTCATTGACTATGCAAAGGCATTTGACTGTGTGGCTCACAAAAAATTTTTACTAACCTTGGAAAGAAGGAGAATCCCAGAACTTGACTGTGCTTATGCAAAATCTATACTTGGACCAGGAGGCAGTCTTCAGAATAGTGCAAGAAAACACTGCATGGTTCAAAATCAGAAAAGGAATGTGCCAGGGATGCATGTACCTAGGCACCATACATTTTCAAAAATAGATGCAGAAGAGATTATTTGAGAGTGAGGATTTTATGAGGATGAACGTGGCATCAGGATTGGAGGAAGACTCACCAACTACTTGCGTTATTAAGATGACACAACCTGCTTTGCTGTAACTGAGAAGGACCTGAAGCATTTGCTGCAGAAAGTCAAGTGCTACAATATTCAACATGTGCTTTCAGCCCAGAGCTTTCTACATGTGGTACCCACGGAGTGGGTGTGTGAGGAACGGCAGACAGGACGACTGGACACCGCCCAGAGCCAGGAAGGGAGCTAGACAGGCACCATGCGTGAGATTGTGCACATCCAGGCTGGCCAGTGTGGCAATCAGATTGGCGCCAAGTTTTGGGAAGTAATCAGTGATGAGCATGGTATCAACCCCACCGGCAGTTACCATGGCGACAGTGACTTGCAGCTGGAGAGAATCAATGTCTACTACAACGAAGCCACTGGTAACAAATATGTACCTCGGGCCATCTTGGTGGATCTGGAACCTGGCACCATGGACTCCGTCAGGTCTGGGCCATTTGGCCAGATTTTCAGGCCAGACAATTTTGCATTTGGCCAGAGTGGTGCCGGCAATAACTGGGCAAAGGGCCACTACACAGAGGGGGCAGAGCTGGTGGACTCAGTGCTGGATGTGGTGAGGAAGGAGTCCGAGAGCTGTGACTGTCTCCAGGGCTTCCAGCTGACCCACTCGCTGGGTGGCGGTACGGGGTCTGGGATGGGCACACTGCTCATGAGCAAGATCAGGGACGAGTACCCTGACCTTATCATGAACACCTTCAGCGTCATGCCCTCTCCCAAGGTGTCAGAGACTGTGGTTGAGCCCTACAATGTCACCCTCTCTGTCCACCAGCTGGTGGAGAACACAGATGAAACCTACTGCATTGACAATGAGGCGCTGTACGATATTTGCTTCCGTACCCTGAAACTGACCACCCCAACATATGGAGACCTCAACCACCTGGTGTCAGCCACCATGAGCGGAGTCACCACCTGCCTGCGTTTCCCAGGCCAGCTGAACGCAGACCTCCGCAAACTGGCCGTGAACATGGTGCCCTTCCCCCGGCTGCACTTCTTCATGCCTGGCTTTGCGCCCCTGACCAGCCGGGGCAGCCAGCAGTACCGGGCCCTGACTGTGCCCGAGCTCACCCAGCAGATGTTCTACTCCAAGAACATGATGGCCGCTTGTGACCCGCGCCACGGCCGCTACCTGACAGAGGCTGCCATCTTCCGGGGCCGCATATCCATGAAGGAGGTGGACGAGCAGATGCTGAACGTACAGAACAAGAACAGCAGCTACTTCGTGGAGTGGATCCCCAACAACGTGAAGACAGCTGTGTGTGACATCCCACCCCGTGGGCTCAAGATGTCAGCCACCTTCATTGGCAACAGCATGGCCATCCAGGAGCTGTTCAAGCTTATCTCCGAGCAATTCACAGCCATGTTCCGGCGCAAGGCCTTCCTGCACTGGTACACGGGCGAGGGCATGGATGAGATGGAGTTCACTGAGGCTGAGAGCAACATGAACGACCTGGTGTCCTAGTACCAGCACTACCAGGACGGCACAACTGATGAGCAAGGGGAGTTTGAGGAGGAAGAGGGCGAGCATGAGGCTTAAATTCAGAACTGAAAACAGATTAGGGAAGGATTTAGGAGAGAGCAAGGGGGAGGGGGGCATACTGGTGAAATCTCTCGGAAGTTGAAAGAAAGAAGCATGGTATATTTAGATGTGCGCTGGGTCTCTGGTGCTCTTCCCTGTTGCCTGTCACTTTCCCTCCCTTTTTTTGTAATATTGATTATTTCAGTGTAACATTTGCAATATTTCTGAACTACTGTTGTAATGGCTAAAATCACATAAATGTTTGTGTCCTTTAAAAAAAATATTCAACACGTATTGAAGCTCAACACCAAAAAAAAAAGATTCTTACCACTGGGCCAATTGGTAGGTAGCATCATGGTAGATGGAGAAGAGATTGAGGCTATTAACATTTTCATTTTACTTGGATCCACAATCAACATTCTTAGAACCAGCAGTCAGAAAATCAAAAGGAATTGTACTGGGAAAATCTGCTGTCAGGTATCTTTCCAGAGTGCTAGAGACTCAGGTGTGCCTGATCCAGGCTTGGGTCTTCTCAGTTACTTGCTATGCATCGGAGAGTTAGACAATGAATAAGGATGATAGAAGAAAAATCGATACCTTTGAGTTGTGGTGCTGAAGAAGAGTATTGGACATACGATGGACCACCAAGAGAACAAACACATCTATCCTGGAAAGGGTGAAACCAGGTTGCTCCTTGGAGGCAAGGATTTTGAAACTCCATTACACATACTTTGGGCATGTTGCTAGGAGGGACCAGTCCTTGGAAAAGGACATATACTTGGAAGGGTAGAGGGTCAATGCAAGAAAGAAAGACCCTGGATGAGATGGATTGATGCAGTAACTAGGACAATGGGTGTAGTTGTGTCAGAGACAACAAATTGGCTCAGGATAGGGCAGGGTTCAGAGCTGTTGTCCATGGGGTTGCTGTGAGTTGTAGGCAACTCAAAGATACATAACAACAACCCAAAACTGACTGAAAGAGATCCACATCTGTTCCCATTCTCCCTCAAAACAGTGATCTAACAGAATGTGGAAATTATAACATGTGTCGGTGAACTACTCAAGAAACCTCTGCAGCAGGAAACAGCGAAGCTGTGATGATTGCAGAGAATCCACTTCCCGGCCAGGAGAAAGCAGAGGCCTCAGCTCTCGAGTCAGTGGTACTAGTGCATCCAGTGTCTCCAGTCCAGTGCCCCTTTGGGGCAGAGGCTGTGGGGCATCCCATATAGCTTGCTGGTGGGGTTGGACCTTGCTTCTAGACATGTCTCCTCTGATTTTCTACTGTGGACTGCCAAGGATCTTGTGAAAACCTTATTAATTCATGGTGCTTTTTATACACTCAATTAACTGGAGTGTCCTGTTGTTCATGAATTGGCAAGTTGACAAAAACTCCATTAAGTAAATTCACTTAACACTAATCAGAAAATGGTACCTGTCACCATCATTAATGAGGGAGAGAGGGCCAGACAAGAATGGGCTTTAAGAGTTGTGCTGCTAACCCCAAAACTGTGTGGTTTTAAATTACCAGCATCTCCAAGGGAGAAAGTCCCTTCCCATGTGCTTCAGAGCTGTTTTGCACAGGGTTGCAACATGACTTGTGGTCCACTTAAAGGCACATAACAACAATAAAGATGGCACAGGACAGGGAAGGTTCACATCTATTGTTTATAACGTTGCTATGAGCTTTAACAAGAACAATAAAACAAAATATTTTTTCATTGCAACATTCTTCACAACTAGGATTCAGTGTTGTTCAATCACCATCTTTATCTGTCCTCAGTATCATCGCCCTTGACAAAAAGCTCCTTCAGAACAAGGCCAAGGGCCAAGTGTAAAAGACCATCAATTGCTCATGTGCAAGTTCTAATTAAAGCTGAAGAAAATAAAGTGGCTCAATGAGAACAAAAAAAATATGACCTTGAGTATATTTCACCTGAATTTAGAGACCTTCTCAAGAACACATTTTATACATTGATCAGGCATATTGTAGAATGCTAACATGGACATTATACATGTAGAAAGCAAAAGGTCATTAAAAAGACAGGAAAGAAAGGAAATACCAAAAGATGTCAGAAGACTGGGTAATGGTGGGCATAGACTAAAGGTGATAAATTTTATTAAACACAATGTATGGGAATGATTGTATGAAACATAATGTCAATAAAGCGAAGTGTGAAACACGGCACAAAAAACTCCACACTGTGTATATGAATGAAGCACTATGTATAGGAATAATTATATTCATACCAATAAGGAAAAAAAAAGATGTCAGAAGAGATTCTGAAACTTGCTCTAATGTGGAGAAGTTAAAGGAATGATGAAATAGGAGTGCTAAATAGGAACAGATTTTAAGGGGTAGCATGAGAAGACAGAGCAAAGTATTAGAGAAAAAAGTTCAGATAACATGAGTTAGAAATCCAAAAGGGAAACCAGGTTCAGCATTTCTCCATGTGAAAGAGCTAAAGAAAAGATTCAAGCCTCAAATTGCAATACTGAAGGATTCCATGGGCAAAATATTGAATAATGCAGGAAGCATCAAAAAGAAAATGGAGGATTACAGGGAGTCACTGTGTTGAATTAGGTAACCACTGTATTGAATTGAGTAACCAAATAGTTGAGGAAAAATTGTGTTTATAGGAATATTCTAATAGATAAGCAAAGTAGGAATAACACATTGAGGTTTTACTGTTTCCATCTCTTTGTGAATTTAAGATCCAAATATGGATGCAAAATAAGATTTTTACTCCATGCTGAAGAACACATCATCTCTGAAATTATCTTCACTCCAGAAAACAAAACTAAAACCAGTTGCCAGGGAGCTAATTCTGACTCACAGCAGCTCAATGGGTGGCAATAGAACTATCTCTACTGGGTTGTTAGTGGCTAACTTTTCAGAAGTAAATTAGTAGGCCTTTCTTGTGAGGCATCTCTGGGTGAACTCAATCTGGCACTCTTTCAGTTAACATCAAAGTGTGTTAACCATTTGTACTACTCAACACCCCCAAAGCCAATCTTTCATCCAAATTAAACTCTAGATTGTTGTTCTGGTCTGTTGAGTGGACTACGACTCATAGCAGCCCTATGAACAATAGCTCTGAACCTCCTCTATCCTGAGCCAATCTCACTGTCTCTGACCCACCTGAACTCATTGCTACACTGTGGCAATCCATTTCATCCAAGGCCTTCCATTCTTGTGCTGACCTACTTTTCCAGACATGATGACCTTCTCCAAGCTTCTCTTGTTAACATACCCAAAATACATGAGACAGAGTTTCACTATCCTTGTCACCAAGAAGCACCCAGGTTTCACTTTCTCTAGGATAGACCTGTTTGGTTTTTTGGCAGTCTATGAGATATTCAGTACTTTTCTCCAAAACCACAGCTCAAAGGCATGGATTCTTCTACTGTCATCCTTATTCATTGTCCCACTTTCAGATGCACAACAAACAATCGAAATGACCATGGGTCGGATCGGGTGCACTTTAGTCTTTAGACTAACATCATTGGACTTTAGCAACTCTGGAGAGGTCCTAGAAAGCAGATTTCTGCAAAGCAGCTTAGTTTCAGTGAAAATGAAACAAAGCAAAACAAACCAAAAACCATAAGCTAAAGCAAAACTACAGTGCATGGATTCAGGTTTGAGTGATAAAACTATATAAAGAAAAATAAGGGAGTAATCACCGTTAAAAAACCCCAGTCTTTTTCTTTCCTAACCACTGCTGCCAAACTCTAGAGATGACTAACAGTTTGTAGGAAACAAAATAGAGTGGAGTCCATGAAACAGATCATGTTCTAAGAAAACATTCAACCAATACTGAGTGTGGGAAGCTGCACAGAAGCTCTATTTATTTCAATAAATAAATTACAAAGTGCATGGGAGAAACCCAAAGACATGTTGCACCAGGCAAATTTGTCAAAGAACACTTTAAAGAGTGAAAGAGAAGGATGCCAGTTTGAAGACTGAGGTACACCTGCCCTAAACCACAATATTTTCAATTGCTTCCTTATATATGAGGAAGCTGGACAATGAATAAGGAAAACAAAGAAGACCTGATGACCTTGAAATATGTTTTGGCAAAGAGTATTAATTATCCTGTGGACTGCCAAAAGAACAAACAAACCTGTCTTGGAGGAAGTGCAACTAGGGTGTTCCTTATAGGCAAGGATGATGAGACTTTGCCTAACATATTTTGGGCATGTAGTCAGGAGGCACCAGTTCTTGGAAAGAGACATCATGCTGGGAAGGCTGAGTGAAAGAGAAGAGACAGTCAAGGAAACTGATTGATGCAGTGATTGTAACAATGGGCTTGCTCAGGGTCACTATGATTTTGTCATCAATGTGACGGCAGCAACCACAACAAAAGACATAATCAATAAACAATGAAACAAAGCAAAAGAAAAACTCATAAGCTAACATAGAACTACAGTGCATAGGTTCAGGTTTGAGTGATAAAGCTATATAAAGAAAAATAAGGAAGTAATCACCATAAAATTCAGCCTAGCAGTTACTGCAAGTGGAGAGGAGGCTGCCTGGGGGAGGGGAAACAGTTGGCCAGTGTCTGTAGCCAGGTGGAGATTACAAGGGCGTCAGTTTATCTTGGTGTCATTTTGTTAATCTGTGCATTTGTTTTTTACTAGCTTTTATATATGTACTACATTTAAAAATAAGAAATTTTAAGTGAAAATGATAAACAATTTGCTTAAATGTTCACTTATTTTTTTACCCTTTTATTATTTTAAGTGGCACTTATTAAATATGCACTGAGGAGGCAGATTTGATTCTTGCTGCTAAGCTAGTAGGAGGCACACAGCATAAAACCCACTAAAAGATTGTGGCAACTGCTGTGAAGGAAAAGTAAAGAAAGTGAGCAAAGGATATGAAGAATATGGACTGGGACTGAGAGTGCATGTCCTTCCTGGGGCCTTCCTCCCTCACCTCCTTCACCTTTGGCTCTTTCAATGCACAATTCTTTTAAAAACCTTTTACACTGGGGGGGAGGGTAGCGCAGTTAATCATAGGATGGCACAAT